GGAGTAGATTCTAATGTCCCTCCGTAAGAAAGATATGGACCGGACACGTTTGCACAGACAGGCAGACAGACAGACAGACTGACAAGGTGATTCCTATTTACCCCACCTCTGTTGATTTATCCGTGAAATCCTGGCTTACGATTGGTTGAAATCTGTCACGTGAAGGCGGTGGATTACTTATACCCGGTAAGTTGTAAATCCATACCCGGTCAGTTGTAATCTATACCCAGTCAATGTATTACGTCACAAACACAAACGTGACGTCATAATAGGCACAGTATAAGTGTGATGAAGGATTTAGCAGAGAAAACCATTTATAAACTACAGATAAAACGTAAATGTTACATCGGTGGGGTAAATTCGTTACATAGTCTTTTAGTGACAGGGTATGGGATGATACCTGGTTAGTAAATTTATACCTGACTCGGCTTCGCCTCGCCAGGTATGAAATTTACTAACCAGGTATCATCCCATACCCTGTCACTAAAAGACTATGTAACTAATAATACCCCCCCCAAACTTCGTTTGCGGGGGGTATAATTAAAAGGGCAGGGGACTCAATATTTTATGGCCATAATATTTTGAAACCCCCCCCCCTCCCTCTTAAATTAAAGGGGGTATGGGGACTCAAAAATTTATGGCCATAAAATTTTGAACCCCCTCCCTCATAAATTAAAAGGGTAGGGGACTCAATATTTTATGGTCATAATATTTTGAACCCCCCTCCCTGTAAAATTAAACGGGCAGAGGGACTCAATATATTATGGCCATAATATTTTGAATATTATATAGACTCCCTCTTAAATGAAAAAAGGTAGGGGGTTCAATATTCTATAAGGGGGTTCAATATATCGCAGTGAAAAAGTGAACCCGGGTTTAAATATTATGCGATATTTTGAACCCGGGTTCAATATATCGCAGTATCAAAATATTATGCTACACCAAGGTTACCAATTTTAGATGTCTGGCTATCATAAATCTATACTGCCTTAGCCGTCGGGCTAGTAAATCTAAAACTAAAGCAAACATATGTATCCCGACTGAATTGATGTACAAATTACCTTTTTTGTAAAATCATAATCTTAATTCATTTTAACCTATATGTATTGTGTATCGCCAGTCGTCTCAATGACAATTATAGTCGATAAAAATAGAGAGAAGTACCTGACAATTAAAAAGCGAAAAAACATTATTTGCTTTATTTATTTCAACTTCAATGTTTTTTAACCTTTATGTTATACATGAATTGTTTTTGGTAGTTAATGGGCTAGTGACTGGCAACCTCAGGCTAGCAACTTTGTAACTGCCACTAGCCCGATGGGCTAGTAACTTATTTTTGTAATTGCACACCCCTGCTACTTGTTACTTTTCTTACCCACTTATCGTTCTTGATTTTGTGGTTTTATGTCTTCACAAAGGCCCACTGATTTAAACGGATCATTGGACATAATGTAAATCTACACTAATTTATCAAGCTAATTATATATATATATATTTTTTAATATAAATGCATGTCTGTGTTTAGATGAGTTATATAATTTCCTAGTTTATTCATTTCAGTTTGACAATTCATTAATAAATCACAGCAACTGAAAACTGGGCTTTTCTTCAGAAGATGACCCTGATGAATATCCTATAACGATAAATCATTATGCTTTTACCCTCCAAATATGATTACTTACTCTAAATCAAAACTTCAGAAACAAAATAAATACCATTTTCCATGTTTGATACAAAATCAAGAGGATTTCATCATCTTTTGAGGAAAAAATATTTATTTAAATGTCCTTTTTAAATCCAAGAAAATTGGGAAATGCAACAAAAAAATAGAATATTGTATCGAGATTAACATATATCAACTTACAAGAGAAATTTGATTAGGCTTATAGAAATATAAAAGGAAATTTTAACAAGAATGTAGGGAATATCCCTCATGTATACGAGGGTCGTTCAATAAATAATGCAACATGTCATCTAAAAGTAAGAAAAAGTACGTAATACATATTCTTAATAGTTTCAATCCCTAAAGGTATTCCCTGTTACCAGTTTCATGTGTCTCAAGTCTTTGAATCCATGAACAGAAATCCCCAGCATACTTATCTTTAGGGATACCCCAAAGACACTGAGAAATATCATTTCCCATGGCATATCTGACATTGTAAAATCTTCCTTTGATCGTTTTCATGTGTTTTGGGGACGAAAAAATCTCACAGTGGCTACGATTAAACTAATATGGGTCATTGAAGAGTCCTGTATACCTTCTTTTCTTCAACATTTTATTTTTTCTCTAAGAGTACGGTATATCCAACTGCGTTGTTAAGCACAGGAAAAATACTATGTTAACCGAATTTTGGACTTCCTTTGCAAAAAATCCATCAACTTTACTTTATGCGATTTGAAGATAAAACTTACTATTGCTAGTCCTTCATTTGGATTCATGTTCATGTTCTAATGGACCTCTTTAAAAACATGAAAACTAATAAAATAAAACATGTTTGCAGCAACTGCTTCTCTTTATCCTAATTAAATGAAACCCTTTTCTTTGATTCCTCATTTTTTTATCATTAATCATATTCTACGACTTTAATAAGAGCACCATTGTTTTGTCATACATTAAGCAAGTTTCTCAATTCTTCAGTTATGTTTAAAAATGTGTTTTTAAGTAAACCGTATGCACATTTAACGAATATTCTCTCTTGGACATTTGTGAGAAGATAGGGCACCAATCTGATTGAAATATTGTTACCGTATAATCCCTATTAACCGCCCCGGGCGCTTAGAAAATTGCAAAAAGGGGGCGGTTATTTTGGTGTTTACTTTATGATAATTATAATGTCATATTTTAACTTCATAAAATCGTTAGAATATAAAAATAAATATAAGAAACATCTAAGATAATGTCTAACTTTACTTAAAGTGAAGATAATCTACCCAAATTATGGTTAATTGTTCATTTTCCACTGAGAAATTGGATATTAAACAAATTTCATTTTCACTTTCTTCACTTTTTTGATACGATTCTAGTTGATTTAAATCACGTACAGGGGGCCCTTATTACCTGACAATTGAAAAAGACCTAAGGGGGCGCTTATAGGGGTAGGGGCGGTTAATAGGGATTATACGGTATATGTTGTTCCTTTGTCCGAATTCTACAAAATGCTGTGACGATTTAATGTTAAGTATTTTAACAATGACTTTCCATGTAAATATAGCATTTTCAAATTACATGTGGCACATAAAGTCGATATTTTGTGATGTTCCCACAAATTTCAATTGACCATATTGACAGTTATATTTGAACCCTTGTTTTTTTCTTCTGAATAATTGAATCCATCTGAAAAGTATACAGCCTAAAAGATTATTTTTTTCCACTTGTAAAAAATTTCATCTTAAATATGAGGTTTGCGGCGATTTATGTAAAAAGCGCAGTTTTCAAATACGCATTTATTTTCATCTTCTTGGCAGAGATCATTTTTAAACAGTTTTCAGCTCAGTGTAGTGACCATGCTTACTTTAAAAATGAATTTCTTTGCGAAGACACTATGAAAATTCATGGGATTTTCTGTGTTTAGAAGATCTTAAATAGAACTTTTCAAATATGAAAAAATAAAATCAAATGCCTCAACATTTATTATGATATACTGAGTATTGCATTATTTATTGAACGACCCTCGTACTCCAAAAATAAACATGGGACCAGTGGTATTGAAGTCCTGGCATGATAAGCGTGTACCACTCAAAATGTCAGCATGTTTGAAGTTTTGTGTTCTCTGATCTGAAAGACACATATTGCTGCAATATCGATTAGCAGTAGAATCCCTGAGCATATGACAACATGATCATATTTTTGTACAGAAAGACAATACATTATTATGAGTGCAATTAAATTAATTTTAAGCTCAAAGTGAGATTCTTACGATACAGTCAGACACATTGATACTGATCTTTGATATATGACTGTCAAGATACTAGTGAATGTACGGTGTATGCAGTACTTATTAAACTTTACTTAACTGAAAAAAATCTATTTCTTATCTATTCTTTGAATCCTTATTATTACCAGTATACATTTCATAGATGTATTTTCACTTAATGAAGCCATGGTTTATTTCTTTATTTTTTTTCTTCGTAGGCTACGAAGGGAATTGCATTTTTTAAGAATTTCACAGAAATTTTTTATTTCTAGTAACCATGGCAACACCGTTCATCGAAATCAAGAACCAATGAAAAGAATAATGTATCTTGGTGCAGTCTACTTGTGTGCCAAGTTATATAGAAATCAGACCAAAACTATAGAAGAAGTAGCATTTTGAATGTTTTTCACAGAAATTTCTATTTTTAGTACCCACAGCAACACCTTTCATCGAAATCAAAAACCGATATATAGAATTATGCATCTTAGTGTAGTTTACTTGTGTGCCAAGTTATATGGAAGTCAGACCAAAACTGTAGGAGGAGTAGCATTTTGAATGTTTTTCAGGAAATTTCTATTTTTAGTAACGACGGCAACACTGTTCATCGAAATAAAAAAAACGATAAATAAAATGATGCATCTTAGTGTAGTCTACTTGTGTGCCAAATTATTTTGAAATCGGGCCAAAACTGTAGGAGGAGAAGCATTTTGAAATTTGAATGTTTTTTATGGAAATTTCTTTTTTTAGTAACCACGGCAACTCCGTTAATTGAAATCAAAAACTGGTACACAGAATTCTTTTAGTAACCACGGCAACACCTTTGATTGAAATCAAAAACTGATACACAGAATTATGTATCTTAGTATAGTCTACCTGTGTGCCAAGTTATATTGAAATCAGACCAAAACTGTAGGAGGAGAAGCATTTTGAAAAATTGTTTACAGACAGACAGACACACACACAGGAGACAGACTGACGGACTGATGCCGGATGCATAACTATCGCATGAGCTCTTCATGTCTCTGACCAGTAGAGCTAAAAATCAGCAATTGTGACAACAATCTGTCCTACGTTTTTTTCCTGTACCTGTAACTGTGCGGCCGGTAGGTTGATGTCTGCCACCATCTCCGTACACGGATGTTCCACCTGTAGACGTGGATTAAGCTCCAGGAAGTGGAACGTCTCCGTCTCCTCGTTATATAGGTACTCCACCGTACCGGCACTGACGTACCGCACCATCTTAGCCAGGGTCACTGCAGCCTAGAGGAAAAAATAATTATACATTAATAGCTATACAATGATAATTCGTGACCAATGAATTTTTCTCTTGCTCAATGTCTCGGAGATCATTGACAGACAATTCTTATTATCCCAAACTCAATTGGATTGAGAAAATATGTAAAAGTAAATAAGGATTTGCGAAGCATGGGTGAAACATTTAAAGAATTGAATGTTGGGGACCTCAAAATCACTTCGGGATATTAATATTCGTAATATTGGCATTAAAGGTATTAAAGTTAGACTGTATTTTGAAACTACAAAATTGAAAGAAAAGTATTTTCTCTACTATGAGGGAGAATATAGTATTTTACTTGGCACACAAAGTCTTGGAATAGTTTATTTAATTAGTATTCATAGTAAGGTGATAAACATATTTTTATCACAATTACCCTCAAGTTCTAACTACCTGTTCCATCTTTTCGAACACCTCGGGTTTGGCTATAGAGGCGGGCGCCTCCTCGATGATCTTCTGATGTCTCCTCTGGATGGAACAGTCCCTCCCAAACAGGGAGATGGCGTTACCGTAGTTATCGGCCAGGATCTGCACCTCCAGGTGACGGGCGTGGGTCGCCAGCTTCATGATGAAGATGGGGGATCCCGGAACCTCAGCCTGCACCTATATTTAGAACACAGGATTCTTCTTTTAGATCCATCATAATTAGAGAACTTCATGATAAAAGCTAAGAATTGAAACTCAATATTGTAAAAATTCTGTTGAAAATAATATGAGTGTATTTCTTTATAAGCAGATTTATCACTGAGATTTCAATTTCAAATTAAAAATACCTCTCACTAAAAATATAACTTCACCATTTTTTTTGTTGTTGAATAAACTCTATAAATTTGCATCTCACTATAATTTCTATAATAAGGTTTCTCTCTTTATTCTTCACTTGCTTAAGTCTTCTTGCCATTTTTTATGCCTTTACTCTTCAAGACAAGAAATTTCTTCCTATTCCCTACCTGTCTGAAGAGATTGGGGAAATCGTCGGCATTCTCCGCCTTCCTGATGCCCTTCCCTCCCCCTCCCTCTGATGCTTTGATCATCACAGGAAACCCGATCTTATTGGCCGATTTCAGACCCTCGTCAACATCCGCGACACATCCCTTCCGGTAGAGGTCCTGGGGCACGTTCACTGGCTTATTGTCACTCTTAGAGTAGTTCAGGGTCAAGCCTGGAATGAAAATGTTCAGTGAAGTTATCTTCATGGGGTCTAATTTTTATGGCTTAGGGAAGAAAGACTGTTTTATGGAGTTTGTTTTTGTGATTGAAGAGATGAACATTGACATGCTGTGCTTCAATATTTATCATTTTATGAATGACATGAATTTGTGACATGAATCCTTTCATATCATGACAAAGAGAAATAATGATTTTACAGAATTATATTAAATATATTTCAATAAACTTACATTTTTTATACTGTCTTTAGAAAATTATTTTGTTTTCCCATTAATTATTTATTTTTAATAAAACCAAAAGTGATCACTGATAAAATTTTATAACATACCTGATCCACTCCATGGCATGGTGGGGACTTTTGCTGTCTGGGCAACAATAGAGGAAGCAATCTTGTCCCCCAGGGCCCACATAGCTCCCTCTGGTGGACCTGTCCATAAACAAGAGCAGATAACTCTACACCTTATGTGGAACAAGTTAGACAAAGATGCATGGTGCACCATACAAATATGACCTTATAGGTTAATAAAAAAAAGGTATTTTTTACAAAATATATTTTAAAATAATTTCCGCAAAATATATGATACAGTGTTTACAGACATTGATATTTAAGAGTCTTGTCTTAAAATTGATTAACTTTACCAATAAATATGATTCCGTTCTTATGGAGGAGTTCTGGTAACTTGGGATTCTCTGAAGCGTGGCCCCAGCCAGCCCAAACAGCCTGTATAACAGAAAAGAGAGTATTTAATACACATATATACCCAGCCAACTTATTATACAGAACAACAATATAAATCAACAATCTGAGTAAAGTAGTTTAATGTCTTAGAATTGTATAGAGGGAAATTTTCGCCCCTGTTTTATTTTTGCCTCTTTCTCTCTCTTCCTGAGACAGATTTAGAACAGCCTGAGGACAAAATTGTTCGCAAGTGCAGACATGCAAAAATAACATCTGGCAAATATAATCCTGTATACAGTAATTCAATGGGGGGGGTTCCAATATTTATTTTAAAGTTACAGAATTAAGCAGTATTTTCTGATTTTTAATTTTTATACTGATAAAATAAGTCAGGACTATATGGGCACTTTACATTCATGCCACACAAAGTATCAATGCATATCTGACACAAAAATTAGAATCTGGTTGATTAACAATTTGATTAACTAGGTGAGAATATTACAAGTACAAGTACCTGTACTTGAGTCCTCTTGGCTATATCCAGGATAAGTTCTACATTGGCGTAATTATTGTTGTTTGTACCGCCCTGTACTGGGACATACTGGTCTGCTAATCGAATGTATTCTGAAAGTCAAAACAGATGGAAATTTAATTTAAACATTTTCTTAATTGAAAAGATTTATCTTGAAAAATCTTTTCTGAAATTGGTCTCCTAAGACCTAGCTGCAGCCTTTTAAGTCCATAAACTTAGAGCAAACTTGTGTGAAAATTTCACATGAAAGTATCTTTTGAAATAGTTTGATAATCAAATATTTTTAGTGTGCATGTGCTTGCACTGAAATGTGTTAATCACTTTGAATATCAAATATATACAACTATTTTCAATTCCTGAAAGTTCTGTCTTTTTCCTTAAGTTCATGAAGGTGGAAGGAAATTTTGATGGCTGTAGATTGAGCATTTACAAAACAGACCTGCATTAGCTTTGAGATCCTCTGGTGTGACCATGACAACAAATCTAATGGCTCGCTCATTCCTGAACATTTCATAGGCCCATCTCCTGACTGACCGCATACACTTAACAGCAGCGATTCCATTGTTAGCTATCAGCACCTACAATATTCAGAAAAAAAATTATCATTTGTATATCTCAATATCTCAAAGTTTTTGTCAGTATGTTGAAGTAAAAATACTATGATTTAACTGACTATACACACATCCATTAAATAATTATTGATTACCGACAATTATGCAAAAGTTTTACTGTGAAATCAGTTATTTTCGTGGGGGTTTAAATTTCGGTGATTTGTGGTATGGAGAGATCAATGAATTTATTACCACCATGAAATATAAAATTTCATATACAGTGGAGCCTCATTTATCCAGACGCTTTGGTTCCTTATCAATTTGTCCGGATACGTGAAGTGTCCGTATATCTGAATTACCAGTTAAACAAGACAAATTAACGTTAACAAATTCCGTTCTGATGAAAAGTCGTCCAGATACTGAAGCATCTGGATATCTGGTGTCCGGATATCTGAAGGTCCACTGTACATTACTACTAAATTTTTTTCAAATTACACAATCTGATCCCCACAATTCAATATTTTTTCCCCAAACCTCGAAAATTTGACACCACGAAAATGTGATTTACGGTACTCTTGCATATACAAATATTAGTTTCAGTGACAAAAAACAGAGAACCACTATTTGCTCAGAGGCAAATTTACAGCTCTAAGACCTGTACCTTATAAACTGTGGAAAGCCACTATTTGCTCAAAGGCAAACAGCTCTCGATCAAGTCTCAGTCTCTATATGATGACGAATGATTATACATACTACATGTACCAATCTACAAATCATGTAGCTTTACACTTCTAGATTTTTATCAGACAGAACCAGGACTTACTTTGTTTATGACTTTATTTCCTCCAAACCTCTTGACGAATTCCTCTGGGGTGGCCACAGAAAAGTCCTTGGGGTGGTAACTCAGTCGCCGCCCCCTGCTGTCAAGGTTACTGGCCCCTGACATAGAGTGTCTACAAAACATAGATGTACATTGTTTTACATTCTTAAATTTTAAATATTGAAACCTTGGCAATTTTTTTTTTACCACTAATTACTTATTGTTAATAGATTTTAATATTATATATACTAAAATTCCAATAAAAGTTAGATAATCCCTTTACAGATAAAAAGGTAAAAAAAAAAAAAAAAGTGGCTTAGAAGACTCTGAATAAACAAAGTATATAATGTATAAAGCATGCACTCAAACCGTAATGCACTTCAACCATGCAAAATGTGACGCAAAAAATGTTTTTACTGTAACAGAGAAAAAACTTGCACAACAGAACATTATTTTTTTTTAGTGAATCTATGTTGCAAACAGGAAATAATTAATAAATTAATATTAACACACAACCATGCATTTTTTTTTTTTACAATTCCAATACCATACAGCTTTCAGTATAACTTCTATTCATAAATAATCATACGATTTTAATGGTAATAAGCATTGGTCGCTATTTAATACTGTTTTTAACAGCACATCACAAACATTGTCATAATGGCTAATTCTAAAGATGTAAAATTTTTATCTTTGGCCCCTTCCTCCAAATTACCTCTACACCTATCATAAAGCATTGACTTCCACCAAATACAGTCTCTTTCTCTTTATTTCATGAATAAATAAATTAAAAACTTTAAAACAAAGGTTTAAGCGTGGACATACAAATTATACCAATACCACCAGACACGCACGCCCCCCCCCCCCCCCCCCCCCTTCCCCTCAATGTGACAGCCTAGTTATATTAGGAAAATTTTCATTCACACAACAAAGCCAAACGTGCATAATATACCAATAATCTAAAAAGCTCATGTTAGCAGTCTATATATGCTGTAATCAATGGCTTTTTGTTTTATATTTTTATTGTCAGAAACAAGCAAACTTAGTGTATACTATTGCCAGTTTATTATAGAAAGACTTTGATATATCACACTATCTAGTTTAAGTTTTTAAAAGAATATCATACTTAGCAGGTATCAGATGGAAATCTATAAACCTGAAGATTGAAAATTTTAATTAAAAATTTTTATTACTTTGTTTTGGTTTATCAGAAAAAAAAGTACAAAATGCAGTCTAAATGACCCATGCATGCCTATACATGCAGTTTTATTATTATTTTTTTGTTTTTTTTACTTTAAGTTTTCATGATTTACTGCAAGCAAATAGACAGACTTGTAATATATGCATAAAGTATATCTGAATGGTTCAATCGTAAGTGAATTTGAAAGCAGGTGACTACATGAATGAAATCCATGATCTATATAGGTACACCAAAACTTTTTTTCCATACCTTTTGTCTTGGTATGTAAACCTGTGTGGAGATACATTTCCCATTGTGAATAATTTTTACCCAAAACAATAATCAATATTGATTTTTTTTTTCGCAATAAGCTGTTTAACTTTTATAAAATTATAGTAAATTAAATTCTGTATTTCATCATAATTTATCAATAAACAAAGTTTACTTCTTACGCATAGTTAAAATTCTACAAAATTAGAAAGTAAAAATATATTCCAATCAAAAGTTATAACTTTATGCATTTTATGGATGCATGCAAAATGAGAAAAGCACTTCAAATGATTGATAAAAAATTTCAATTTCTTCTTAAGTATAAACAGTACCTTTGACTTCATTTGCAGATTTATCTTGTTTATAGTAATGAGTTTTATCTATTTAATGGTTGCCCATATGTCCATGTATTCAAAAAGAGAATGACTTAATAGGAATCAAAATCACACATTGTTATCAAAGTGGTGACTACAACATGGTATATATAAGAACCATTCCTTCAAAAGGCCTGGCAGTTATGCGGAGTATTTCATTTACAATTAATGTATAAGCAAGATATAATTTTGCGTATCATAATTAAAACAAGAGGCCCATGGGCCACATTGCTCACCTGAGCACTGTGGCTAGGAAAAAGTAGAAATTGGTTTATTATTGAAAAGCTTAAATCCAAAAGTAGTCCCAAGACCAATCATGGCTTTGCTATTCTTGATAAGATGATTTTTAAAGAATTTTCCTATATATTTCTATGTAAAACTTTGGTCGGCCATTGTGGCCCCGCCCTACCCCCCGGGGGTCATGATTTGAACAAACTTGAATCTTCACTACCTGAGGATGCTTCCATATAAATATGATCAAATATGGCTTTTATTATTCTTGAGAAGAAGATTTTTAATGAATTTTCCTATATATTTCTATGTAAAACTTTGGTCGGCCATTGTGGCCCCGCCCTACCCCCAGGGGTCATTATTTTAACAAACTTGAATCTACTCTACATGAGAATGCTTCCATAAAAATATGATCAATTTTTGCTTTGCTATTCTTGAGAAGAAAATTTTTAAAGAATTTTCCTATATATTTCTATGTAAAACTTTGGTCGGCCACTGTGGCCCCACCCTACCCCCAGGGGTCATTATTTTCACAAACTTGAATCTACACTACCTGAGGATGCTTCCATATAAATATGATCAATTATGGCTTTGTTATTCTTGAGAAGAAGATTTTTAAAGAATTTTCCTATATATTTCTATGTAAAACTTTGGTCGGCCATTGTGGCCCTGCCCTACCCCCGGGGGTCATGATTTGAACAAAATTGAATCTACACTACCTGAGGACATTTCCCCATAAGTTTCATCTTTCCCGGCACAGTGGTTCTTGAGAAGAAGATTTTTAAAGAATTTTCCTATATATTTCTATGTAAAACTTTGGTCGGCCATTGTGGCCCCGCCCTACCCCCGGGGGTCATGATTTGAACAAAATTGAATCTACACTACCTGAGGATGTTTCCCCATAAGTTTCATCTTTCCTGGCACAGTGGTTCTTGAGAAGAAGATTTTTAAAGAATTTTCCTATATATTTCTATGTAAAACTTTGGTCGGCCATTGTGGCCCCGCCCTACCCCCCCGGGTCATGATTTGAATAAAATTGAATCTACACTTGTGTACCTGAGGATGTTTCCCCATAAGTTTCATCTTTCCTGGCACAGTGGTTCTTGAGTAGAAGATTTTTAAAGAATTTTCCTATATATTTCTATGTAGAACTTTGGTCGGCCATTGTAGCCCCGCCCTACCCCCGGGGGTCATGATTTGAACAAAATTGAATCTACACTACCTGAGGATGTTTCCCCATAAGTTTCATCTTTCCTGGCACAGTGGTTCTTGAGTAGAAGATTTTTAAAGAATTTTCCTATATATTTCTATGTAAAACTTTGGTCGGCCATTGTGGCCTTGCCCCACCCCCGGGGGTCATGATTTGAAAAAACTTGAATCTACACTACCTGAGGATGTTTCCCTATAAGTTTCATCTTTCCTGGCACAGTGGTTCTTGAGAAGAAGATTTTTAAAACATACCACCAAATTTTCATTAATTCCCCATTATCTCCCCTTGAATGAGGGCGTGGCCCTTCATTTGAACAAACTTGAATCCCCTTCACCTAAGGATGCTTTGTGGCAAGTTTGGTTGAAATTGGCCCAACAGTTCTTGAGAAGAAGTCGAAAATGTGAAAAGTTTACAACGACAACGACGCCGACGACAACGACGACAGACAACGGACACATTGTGATCAGAAAAGCTCACTTGAGCCTTTGGCTCAGGTGAGCTAAAAACTAGAAAATGAAGCCCTTACAAATAGAAAGCAATTTACAGACTGCAGGATTTTAAAAGGCAGCATTTAAATGTTAGTTAATTAAAATGTGAATCTTAACTAATACATTACTAAAATGAAAAAAAAAAATTAAAGACGTACAACACACTGGGGGAGATAACTCTTGCGATTTCAATTGAACGTTTGACGTGACGTCAAATTAACGTCAAAGATAAAGCGTCAAAATGACGAGTAAAACGATCCCGATGTATATCAATCATAAAAGAAAAATGGGATTTGGGTCTTGGCTGTGATTTTGCGTACCATACTCAATCAATAATTATTTTTTTAATTAACCCGATTAAACTCCGTAAAGACAAGACATAAAATACCATCCCTAAATGTTTATTTCATTTCATTTCATATACAATAAATTGTAATCTTGATCAAAAGGCAGCATTTTTTTTAATTCTGAAAAATTTTACATTGCCGAAATTCTTATTATGTACAATTGGCTGTATAATATTCCGATTAATGGTCTTCATTACAGTTTGTGCATTTACGATATAAATATTGTTTTTCTTCTTTAATTAAATAAAACTACAATAAACAAACAAAAAACTTTTTACAATGTAAAATCGATGTTGTTCTCAGACCCTTACTGATCAAAGAGGAACAACTCTGAAAATGTAGGAGATGTTCATTTTCCTCCCTTTTATTCACGGTTTTCCACAGAATCAGATACATTTACAGCAAGACCTGATAAATCCGAGAATTGAATACTATAGACCTCATATACACAATGTAAGTATAGAATTGAAAAGAATTATTCAATAGTACTGAAATTATCTGCATTTGTGAATAGTGCAGTATCCTATTGCAGCAAATCGTTTGACTTTCTGTCCTGTCAACAATGACGGTTCGCATTTCCTCGAATCAAAACAAAACGTAGCCTATAAGATTTTTAAAAATATCAATGTGTGATTTGATATAAAGTGAAATAGACGAAGAATTTAATGTTTGATACTTTGAAGTTGATGTGGACGAATACGGAATTTTCATTTTAACTTTAGAAGCAACGACTTTGAAATATGCGTACAATATCATGAGGGGTGTACATCTATGCAAATGTCGATGTATCCCCACGGCCACGTACTGTCTCGTTTGAAATAATGACATGAAACAGAAAGAAACTACAATTATTCCATTTATATCACAGGAGAGTTGAACATACACCAATTCTTTTATAAATAAAATTAAAGAAATATATTTAAAAATCAGCATATTCAAGTTCAACATAACTTGAATTCGTATCCAGGTTTCATGTGATATGGAATGCATATTAACGCATACATAATTATATGGACTAAACACTAAAATCATTCAGTAATTTTTTCCTTAGAAATATAAAAACAGTAGTCAATATTTATTCTGCATTCATGAATTTAAAAACTTATGCATACCTCTGGGATTCTAATGACGAAATACTAGAATATAATTTCCACTTTACACGACGTTTCCTCAAACGCTAATGGTCTGCGACGCAAAAAAGGTAGGGGTGGGGTGGTAGGGGTATTCAAAAATTGCCTAAAAATCTACATTTAAATACGCTTTACATATGAGAACTTTTAAATTTGTAAGTTAATATATTTTTGAAGCAAAAGCAATATTCCAATTTGTTTTTTTTTTTTAAATGTGTATTTGTAGATTCATAGCAAAGTGATCGACCCCCGTCTGAAAGACGCGCGGGAACGCGATTTATTGAGAAAGGGGGAGGGGGTAATTTTCCGCATTAAATCAAAACTGGTCGTACAAAAATTCTACAAAAAATTATGAAGATTATTTTTACTACCAGCTACCTAAAGAAAGTTTTTTAACAAAATTAAACGACAGGTTTTTTCACAAAAAAAATTTGAATTTGAAAAATACACAATTTTCAAGGCTTAGATAATTCATAGTTTTTCAGTTTAAGGTCTTTAAAAATTGTTTTGATGATATGTATATTAAAAAGATGACTATGTTTTTGTGTTAAATGATTAAAGGAATAAGTCAGTGAAATTTAACATTTATATCTAACCTGGCTTTTTTGAAAATCAATGTTTAAGTAGTTCATTGATTAAAAATTTTCTCTCCTTGTAAACAACTAAAGGGGGGTAACTTTTGGAAGTTCCTGTCCAAAAACCACTCGAACGATTTTGTCCAAAATGTGCATACATGCAGTAGATATAGTCATGTACTAAATATACAAAAATAACGAAAATTAAACGACAGGAATTTTTTGGGGTAGGTGTGTTGTACATCCTTAATATACCCCGCGGCCCCTTACAACATACCCCAAATTCATAAACCTCAATTTATCCTTATTCAGCAATTTCCTAAACTCATCAATGACCTTTTTAAATACTGTAAGTTTTATAATTATTCCCATTAAAACTCCACTTATATATTTAACAATTAATGAGATACCAGGTGCTTTTTTTTTCATTCGAACTAGAGATGCTTTCATTTTTCCCCCTTATTTTCTACAAATAACAATTAGACAGAACATTTAAAAAACAAAACATTTGTGTTAGTAATTAATTAACATACAAAGTATTATTTTTCTACATATATGGATAATATTGTTCGACCTGATTAAATAGTTTGACACAAAATACTCACATTTACTTCTCAAAATTAAAATTTTTACCTATGCCCAATCTGTTTTCCATGGGAAAAGTTGGTGGGCAGATCCCTAATTAAAAGTGTTTAATCAATTCTAAATAATTGATTTGAAATATATCATTTCATGTTTTAATCATTAATGTATCTTATTGTCAAACATTTGGTCATGGGGTCATCCATTTTATACATCAAAAGAGTCTGACACACTGTTGTGTCAGAAACATTTTTGCTAGACTTTTGCTTTTAAAATTACAATATATGTTCAATTCAATACAATACATGTATTTCTTTTACCGACATTATTTAGTATTATTGATGAGAATACTACACACAATATGTCAATTAAATTTACATACTGTATAGGGGGAAAATAACTTGCGGTGTTAATATTCGCTTTATTCACGATGTTAATAAATCCGTGAATTCAAGAAACAGTGAATAAATTTTCAGAAAACTCCATGTTTTATTTCGAAATTTGGGAATAGACTATGATAGGTTTATAGATACATATGTACGTGCAGTACATGGTAATTTCAGTAAGGCCAGCATTTTTTTATTTTTAGGTTTACGAACATCAGAATGAAAAAGTCCCGTAGGAGGAGGAAATAAAAAAAAAATAAAATTATTTTTTTTGGATAAGTTATCGACTTTTGTACATTAATTTTTCTTCTTTTTTTATGCTCTCCTAACAGGCTCCATGCCACTGGACGCATGAGGATTACAAAGGGGAAAATAGAACCTTTGTTTATTTCATCATCTACCAGTTGGGGCCAGTGATATATATATATTTTGTTCTGTTGGACAAAATACAGATATTTTAAAAAAAAATCAATTTTTCAAAACTCTTTCAATATATTTTCATTTTTGTTTTTAATATGTTTTGGTAAATGTGTAGAAATTGTTCTAAAATATACTTGAGACCTAAAATACGTAATAATTCCTTTCATAAAACAGACAGGGAGTATTGGGGAGTAGGGTGAAATTTTTTTATTTAGTGTAAAAAATTTTTCTGGCTGCCACAAACGATACTACATACCTGTATATATTTGTATATAATACTTGTTTTTAACAGTTGAAGTATTTTATTTCTTTAGGCTATTGTTTATTTCTTCCTCAAATGGACTTAACTTCTCCCATAGTTTTATTCATTACATCTGATGCATAAGCCACCCTTTTCTGAAGAATGATGCTTATAGTGAGCGCAGCGAGGCGGCGCGAAGCGCCGCTCGCGTAGCGAGCTCAATAGACTAACGTGAACGAACGGAGGAAATTCGGATTGAAATCTGCACATTGTTCCAAGAAATTTTTATCTCACCGCGTGAAAAAATTCTAAACTCCCAAAAATCCTTTGCGGTGCATAGCAACATGGTGGCTAAATCATAGCAACAACTACTAGAAAAAACATAAAAAATACAAACAACGATTTAATGCAATCTCCATGCCACAAAACTATCGTGTGCGTTCTAAGTCAACAGGACTTTTTATTTGACATCATACTTTCGTCACTTACACGGCTCGGGTATTTCCGATTTTGTCGGAAACTTCCGAAAAGTTCGGAATCTCGATCCCGATGCCTAGGAAGTGATTTCTTTTTATTCTTTTCTTTTTTTAATGAACTTAGGTTAAGCAGTGCAAGTTAAAGCTGTGTAAATGTTTTTGATAGTAAATAACTGCGCTCGCCCCAACGGTCGCACCGTAGAACATATTAAGACTGTAAGCTATAACAGAAACTTAAACAATGTCTCTGACAAAAGCTACCATGGACAGTTTTAAACCTGTGGGATGAAAATAATTTACAGACAGATACTTTGGAATACGGATACATAATTATCTCACCAGCACGTCATTGTGCAATAAAGTCATCAGCATTTTATTTGTCCTCTGAACTTGTGAAACGTTTTGAATGGCACTCCTATCGATAAATATTAACATTAAACAAAGCTTTAGTGCTGCTATGGACTTTGCAAATCTACCTTCATTACCCGCCATGTTCATCTAAAACCGGAAGTGACATCGGAAAGAAAAAATTCTGTTTTTCTCAATTTTATTTTTTTTCTGAAAATTCAAAAACTTGAGCGGCGGGTTTGTAAACCTAAAAATAAAAACATAGGTAATCAGAGATTACAGAGCTCACCTCAACGAATGTTGTCTTTAAGTAAGGCAAAGTCACACAATTAACCAACAAAAAGTGTACATTCCAAAAATGAAAATATTTAAGCAATTTTGATCTGATACTTTGAAATAGACCTACATAAAAAATTTAAACTAGTTCTTCTTCATGAAAATATAACAAAAATCCAGCATCTGAAGCAAATTTGAGAGTTTTCATCTCTTGATGCAACATTTCTGCAAGTTTGGTTTATACAGTGTTATATAAGCCTTATAGTTTTTGGTAATAGACCTGCAATCATAACTTTTCCCTTGTCCATTATCTGAAAAATGTATGTCGAATTCAGCATCCGAAGCAAGTCCATTAGTGTGCATCCTAAGATGTATCATCTATGCAAGATTGGTCATTAAAGAACTCATAGTTCCTTGGAAATGAAACCTGCACCAAAAACTTTTACCTGTTCACTCAACCGGAAAATGTAGGTCAGATTCAGCATCTGAAGCAAGCCCGGTAGTATGCATCCTTAGATGTATCATCCATGCAAGTTTGGTCAACATAGGTCTTATAGTTCCTTGGAAATGAAACCTGCACCAAAAACTTTCACCTGTTCACTCAACTGGAAAATGTAGGTCAGATTCAGCATCCGAAGCAAGCCTGGTAGTATGCATCCTTTTATGCATCATCCATGCAAGTTTGGTCAACATAGGGCTAAAAGTTCCTTGGAAATGAAACCTTCACCAAAAACTTTCACCTGTTCACTCAACCGGAAAATGTAGGCCAGATTCAGCATCCGAAGCAAGCCCGGTAGTATGCATTCTTAGATGTATCATCCATGCAAGTTTGGTCAACATAGGGCTTATAGGTCCTTGGAAATGAAACCTTCACCAAAAACTTTAACCTGTTCACTCAACTGGAAAATGTAGGTCAGATTCAGCATCCGAAGCAAGCCTGGTAGTATGCATCCTTAGATGTTTCATCCATGCAAGTTTGGTCAACATAGGGCTTATAGGTCCTTGGAAATGAAACCTGCACCAAAAACTTTCACCTGTTTACTCAACTGGAAAATGTAGGTCAGATTCAGCATCCGAAGCAAGCCTGGTAGTATGCATCCTTAGATGTTTCATCCATGCAAGTTTGGTCAACATAGGGCTTATAGTTCCTTGGAAATGAAACCTGCACCAAAAACTTTCACCTGTTCACTCAACCGGAAAAAGTAGGTCAGATTCAGCATCCGAAGCAAGCCCTGTAGTATGCATCCTTAGATGCATTATCCATGCAAGTTTGGTCAACATAGGGCTTATAGTTCCTTGGAAATGAAACCTACACCAAAAACTGCACCAAAAATGTTAACCTGCTCCAAAAACATTAACCTGGTCATTCCTTTGCTGAAATTGCAGCATCTGAAACTTTTCCTGGTACAATGAAACACACTTAAACCATCTTCCATGCATGTCTAATCAATATAGGACACAGAAGTAATTAAAAAGAAAACTGCTCCAAAAAACTTAACCTTAACCTGGGACGCCAACGCCGACGCCGACGCCGAGGGTATCACATAAGCTCCCCCCAACTTCGTTGAGGTGAGCTAAAAATGCTGGCCTAATTACGAGTAGTACTTGTCAATCAATTATTTCAATTATCACGCTTTACTTTAATTCAATTCAGTAGATAATAACCTGTATTTGTTAAAAAGCTGTTCTAATAGTCAAAACACATGGGCCAGGGGTTTTGATTACCCGTGCGTAACTAATAACCACGTGTATTTGTTACCTGCATTATCATGCATACTAATTTTTACTGACATTTTGGTTTTTAAATATCATTCAAATAACTATCAAACTTAATTACTAAAGATTGGAAGGAATTATTTCGTCGACCTAAATTAATACATTTCTTACTGTCCAGTGGTTTTTTGCCGCGTTGCATTGAAGATCTTGGGGTGTACATGCAATCATCGTATAAGGAAAGTCATATGATGACAAAGACTTGAAAACTGCACTTGTTTTAATTAATCGTCAATTATTTATTAAATCAAACAATTTTATACTAACCTACCCTGTTGTTCGTAAAATAAAGACATAACGATGATTAATGTATTTTGCATGTAGGCTATATGGTGTGGATTAAACGGATAGAGACAAGGGAAGTTACTTTTATTACATACCAAATCCGCAAATTCAAGAAACCGCGATCGTGTCAGATGAGAGAAAAACGTGAAAATTACAACCCGTGAAATTAATCCCCTATACAGTGTTAAAAGAATAATTACATGCTATTATTTTTAGAGAATTAGTATATCAATTATGCCCCTTCATATATGATAATACCTTACCTTTTAAAGGGTTCAAATTGGAAATGTTGTACGACAATATTTAAATGAAAACTGATGAAGTAAACACAGATGCTCAGATAAATGATACATGTTATGATTTGAGTGATCCAAAGTAATTTGAACAATTTTTTGATCAGAAAATGAAATAGACTTTGGATACAAAGTATAATTATACCCTCCATCATTTTTTCTTCAGAGGAACTTTATTTTTGCCTAATTACGAAAATTACATTCTCGCTTGTATATGTATTTGTGTACAACAAAAACCCTACCTCATGAAATTTTATCTCGCTGATAAATACCTATAGTAGCTTTCTTGCGAAAATAAGGTGTCGCAAAAAAATAGTGATCTACAGAATAGCTACATTTTTACTTCAGTACAGTGGTGGTTTCAAGGGTGTACAATGTATAGTCTATTCTCATTATCTAGAACCTGATGGGGCCGAAGAAAAAAAAGGTGAGATATCTAGACCTGCATTCAAGATAACTGGGTTTGTTATTTCAAAAAGAAAAAGTTGTTGGGACTTCCAAACTATTAGAAAAATATTCATGATATACCAGATATATCAAAGTCTGAGAAACTAAATTTCAACTGTGGCACATGTAGCACAGTCATGGAAAGAGTGTCTGCTCTAGAGATGCAGAGTAAGAAGTAAAATAATCCTAATGTCGGGGGTTTTAATCCAACTGTGCAATGAGGAGACCTTTGGATGAGACCGTATTAACCAAGGTCCCATGTCGCAGTAGGTACTGGCATGAAAAAGATCCCTCAATGCTCAATGATCCTGAGTGCCAAAAACTTGCAGCTTTCCACTGGCAAGTGGTGGCGTCTCCATATGCGTGAAAAATTCTCAAGAGGGACATGAAACAACAGACAATTTCATAAATGAAGAATTTTTTTTAAATAAAAAAATGAAACACAATTATATAATAATGCCAAAATTCTAAATTATAAGGATCATTAAAATAACTGAAAAATACTGTCAATTAATTTCTTTTTAATACTGTTAATCAAATAACCATTGTTAATTTAATGATTTATAAAGAAACAAGTGTGTCTCTAGAATTGGAAGAAGACTGACTTTCTGCTCAAATTGTGGGTCCTGCAATATATCTTGAGTAATATTTTCAGAACACTCTTATAAATCCCTTAAAGATTACATCCCAATCTACAATTGCATAATTTGCTGAAAAAGGAAATTTTGTTATCGATCATTAAATCTAAATCAGAGTATCTAAAGTTGATGGCATTGTAAACAGAAAAGATTAAAGTTAAGAAAGATAGGAAACACACATATTCCTTTTCTTTTCAATTTGAACCATAATAATAAACTCAAGTTTAATGAAATAAAGAACTGGGAACACAATTCTTACTGAAGGGGATCAATACCAACAGATGAAGTTCCTTGAACAATTTCACTGAAACTTGGTCGAATGCTCCTAAATCAGACAGTCCATAGGTCGAAAGTAACATTCTTTGAGTATTTTCAAGTATTCTTAACATTTGATTTAATTTGAAAAAAAAATCAACGACTGCTATGAAGAAAAAATCTATTGGCCCTTAACATTGCAAATAAATTACTTCTATGTACATGTATTCGACACTTTAGTTTCCTAATTATTCTTATGCATAAATAATCTTTTTAAGTTTGAAGTTAAATATAGCTCTGACAATAACATCTTCTTACAAATGTACAAAATCAAACATACCCTTGAACATGCAAAAAGTTTAAGGGCAGATATAAATGATCTAGATAGCATTACTTCTTATCACTAAAAAGGCCTTTAATATTATGAAACATGGATGCATGTTTGCTTTTAATGATGGGGTGAAGGTTACAGCATGTACCTGGACTAGGGAACACAGATTTGTTTAACAGTGATAGCAGAACTGTCAGAAATATGCTATTTGACATAATCGATACAAGGCCAGTTTGGAGGTTCTAATACCCGGTATTTCGTATTTCAGAATAGGGTACATTTCCGAGAGGTAGTGAATGAATAATGAAAAGATTTAATAAGAGCTATGTTCACTTTATGCCCTTTAGATATTCCAATTATTGAATAAAAAAATAACACTGTTTTATTTCAAACATCAAAATAAATTCGAGACTTGGTGCTTTCATAATCCATTAATTTAAAAATTTTCTCCTAAAATAGGTCCTATGCAAATCTTGTTCTTTATAACATGTATAAGGGGAAAAAAATATTCTGAATAAGAATGAAAATGCTATAAATACAATATAATATATTATGTGTAAATTAATTAATAACTAGATGTATAAATTATATAATGTATAAATGAACACAAAGACAATACAATGCTTGGTGGATAAAGGATGAGGAAGCGGGAATGAAAATGACTCTTATGGGTTTAGGAAAGGCTACAAAAAACAAAAACACAGCCATTCTCTTCACTGCAGCCTTAACAAAATCATAAGAACTGTACAAATTAAAAGAAAGCCTGACATTTTAAAGAAACCTATTAGTTACTACATGTAATATTTGTCCGTTCTGCATTGTTCAGTGGACTTACTTGAGCTTTGGTTCTGTTGTGTCCTCTTTTGAGGAGCTGTGTATCAGTGAGGGCACACTGTCCTTCCTCTCCTCATGATGGTCATCGTGAGGCACCTCGGGGGAATCTGTCGTATCCTCCTCCCCCTCATTATCCCCCAACAAAAAGCTCACCTCTCCATTTTTCTTCTCTTTACTCATGATATGTTTCTACAATTAAAAGCATTGGCTTTGAGTAAAATTAACCTCTGATATTTTAAGATACATTTAGAACAATTTTTCATAGACTATATGATGCTGGTGATGGAATGCAATTCCACCCTTCATGGATTTTCTTCACAATGTTTAAACATTCCCTTGAGGCAAGGGGAATAATTTTAATAAATTCTTCAATTTCAGGCTTTGGGCACCTAATAAATCTAGGCTTATAAATCAACTTTTGAAAATAAATTTCAATTAGAAGATAATGGACTTTCAGACACAATCAGGAACATGCCAATTTGCAAATAAAATAAATATTCAGTATAAAACAAACTAGACTAGCTAGCAAAATCAGGATGTAAAAAAAGCATAGTTACTTGTACTGGTAGTGAATTAAGAGAATTATGATTGACTCACCTTATAAACCCAGTTAAATTCAGTACCAGCTAATTATGAACCCAGGAAGATTCAGAGTAAATAATCAGTATACACTTCTGATCTGTGTACAATACTGTAACTTGTGGGGAGCTACTATCTCAGTAGCCTCAATGATTTTAAAGTTAGTGACCTGTAACAATGTCACATTTTTCTTTTTATTTTAATGTGAACTTGGGGTTCAAATATTGCATGACAAAGCCAGTGACTTGTGCATTTTTTTTTCAGGTGAACTTGAGTGGAAATTATCGCATGACATATATTCCATCACTACTATTCAAAACCAGAGGTGAATTACACATCTTCACTATCTTAACACACACAATGGTTGTCCTTGAACTCTAATGTAAATAGACGTTTTCAGGGACGCTGTTAATCATGTTAATCTTGCACTTTTTAAAGCTAATAAATAAAACATGTATTTATAATATCTTGTGTTTTAGTGACCAAAAAATTTCTAATTATTCAGCACATTTATAAAATTACAGCACAGAACAAGTAAGATGTGGATTATATATTAGTTTTGCCAATTTTTTTCTTTAAATTGGAGTTTAGATAAAATAGTTTTAAGGCATGTTTTCCTCACATATAAAAGGCTAGACAAGCTAGCATATGACTGATCAGGCTAGCTAGGTCTTAACAGCTATATAGCCCTACATTGCTGGCATGGAAAAGAGAGTTTTGAACAAGCAGGCATGCAACTATAAATTGAAGGCCCAACAATAACAACAATTTTGAATAACATAATCATTCAACTTTAACAGATGGGTTAAGGGTTCAGCCAGACTGACACTCAAACCCTGAGAGTGCAGAACTCTTTACCATTAGACTTCCAGACAAAGATTATATTGAATTTACAAAACAATCTTCAATTACATTTACACATTTTTTACCTTGCTCGGAATTTTTTAAAGACGCATACAACCTACAAGATGGGTAGATAAATCAACCCTTCCCTTGGAAAGTCTTAAAGAGATGCAAAGTGTAATGGTACAGGAAAAAGACAAGAATTGTTCACAAAAAGATATCTACAATTCACCAGTAAAGTTGCCACTGCGAGCTCTTAAAACATTGTTTGGGTGATGAGAAAATTTTAACATTGATCCAAACTAATTTTTTTCTGCAGTTAGCTGTGGTCCCTTATGGGCCTTAATCCTTAGTGAAGTGTATCTCACCGCAAAGTACGTTCTCACAGGAACAAGATGTTCCAAGAGAAAAATAAAACAGGCCTCAATCTTAATGGATATAGCAGATAAATAGTAGATTGAACATTCTTGATTAAAATTCTCACTGTTCAGTCTTCAAGTTAGTAATGCAATATATGTACGACATCAAGTGGGGTAAGAGTCTACCAGACACCAAATGGCACAATGTGACGAGCCCGATCTCAAATAAAACTGAATAAGTTTCTGCCCTGGCCCTAGTTAGAATAATCTAACTGTGTCTCGGTACAGGCCCTCACCACAGTTAGAATACCACCCATATACTCGTAATGTAGCAAAAAATTGCAGAATCGCACCGAAACGATTTTGAAGAATATAAAATGATTTGCACTGGGAATAACTACCAAAATAATCAAAACAAACCTTCTTGAGATTGCTTATGCCTTTCATCCCAAAAAATAATCCATATAAATACGAAAATCCAATTCATTTTCTCAACGTTTTTCTCTCGATTCAAATTACCTCCATGTTTACATTCGGAACTCTCTGGATTGTTCTTAGTAAATGCACTATGCGAGTTATCGCCCGTGTTTCTTTTGCTACATTACGAATACACGGAACGAATTCTATCGTTAAACCGGGTCCGTAGGACAATATCATTTTAACGATAGAACATTCTATCTACCCTGGCCCATCAGTCACACTGTCAACATTTTATTTATTACAAGTTTGTTTGTCTGTACATAATTTAGGATTAAAACATCTTAATAACTTAATCTACTTATCATGCTTATACTTGCTGAAACCATAAACAATATGATTTTATGCACACTCTGTTGGTCTCGGGAGTTGGCATTTATCAATAATGTGAAAATAAATGAGAAACAAGAATATATCCTATCAATGAGCAAAATTCACGTCTTTTCATTTATTTTCACTTAATTGATAAAATTGCCCACTAAAAGATTCAGTGCAGCACTCTCTCCAGAGCCAAATGAAATGCCGACAACTTATTTTTTCTTACTAAACAACTGTAAACCTAAACAGTGTTGAATTTAAATTTACTCACCAAGACAGAGCACTTTAAATCACAATGTCATGTATAACATATGTTTGTTTACACCTACCTGCCACAAAAACACTGTTCTACAAAATCATGTTTCTCGCCTGATATTGCTAAATGAGTGGCGTGAGCTCCCTGACGAACGTAAACTTCAGGGTCAAAGGTTACGTTCGTTATTAAACAACTCGTACGAGTAAGTTTGAAACGTAAATTGCCTCATTCAATAACAACATCTAATAGGGTTTAGATATTGATTATATTCTTAGATAGATTTTATGGATACTTTAAATCTAAAAAGGCTTTCTATTTGATCTAAGAGTACTTCAACTAGAAACTGTACGCACGCTGTATATCCAACATAGGGTAAATGTCAAAATTAATTTTCTAAACAAAGGATAAACAATATTAAAATCTTACCTACTTAAAACAAAGTTAGCTTAGTGTATTCAATTTATAGTGCAATATTCTTTTTAAGTACATCAAACCATTTCAAATCGAAAATTATATATTTTTAGTTTTCAAATAAATCCATGTTCCAAGATTATCCGAAAGGATTTTTAGCGCTTTTCGAATCGACGCCTTCAGACATTTGGCGGCAAATTGCGACATTGTTTTCACGGGGAAATTTGTTTGAGGTAAACACGAACTATTTCTCTTCATTATTGCAATTTGTGTATGTTTCTTGAGTGAACATTAGAACATATTTTTGAAAAAACGTTACTTTAACTGCTGAAGAGACTAAAACACAATATTTAAATAAACAACACCATAAAATAACGTCGTGTACGAGTGCAACATTGCATGGTATGCACTTGATTTCCCACAAACATGATTTGTTTTCTTTACGTTTTGTTTGATTTTACAGTTTTATCGAATTAAATGAATGGGTTTTTTTAAATAGAGGGCTTTTTCAAATGGAAAGATATATAAGATGCAACCCAGAATATCTACTTTATATATTTTATCACCGTATTATGTCTTCTTTGAATCAAAACCCACAGCGGGACGTGGAGACCGGTCCTGAATCGGATGAGACCATATAAACCAAGGTCCTGTGTCGCAGTAGGTGCTCGCACTAAAGAGATCCCTCCCTGCTCAATGGCCCCGAGTGTCAAGTGTAGGACAAAATTTGCAGCTCTCCACCAGCAAGTGGGGGTGTCTCCGTATGAGTGAAAAATTCTCGAGAAGGACGTTAAACAATATACAATCAATCAATTTTCTTTGAAAACCCCATGGGCCCTGCCCAACTATACGTGTGAAAACTCAAAAATATGTTAATGGTGCGACCATTAGGGCATTAAGCTCTGCGGATACCTATACAGATTTCGTTTAGGTTGGGCTTGTCAAACCACACGTGACATTCAATGCAGCTAAGACCCTGACAACACATGACGTTGTATATGCATATTGCTATTACCAAACTGAAGCCTGACAAGGCTGATTTAATAAGGAACCGTTTTATTGACTATTTTTCTGCAATAAATCCATTAAATCAACACAAGTTTATTATTTGTTTTACTTTAATCTGTTGTCATTTTCGTGAGAAAGTTGCTTTAGCTAGCTTTTGTGTATGAAGCGATGCACCGTGGGTCAAAACTTACAAAAAAAATTCCATTGCATGAATCTGTAGTATATTTCATTATGCACTAAGAGTTGCACTTAAACGTGCAGTGAAAGTGTCCAGCCTTGAACTCACCTGAAAATAAGGAATGTAATTTTCACATGTTAAATTGTGTCTCTTTGATGTACAGTTATCCAACCAAGGAAATGCATCTTTTGCATTAAAGTATTCAAAAGATCACAATGATAAAAAATACCTTTGGTTTGATTTTGGTTGCTCTTTAGAAAGCCCATTACAGTGTGCGAAACTAACTTCAAAGTCCTATAGACTTTCGGTCCATAGACATTTCATTTTCTATAGACCGCAGCAACTTCCTATGGACCGAAATTTAGAATACTACATTCAATGCTAAAATATTGAAATTAAAATAAACGTATTTGATGTAAAATGTTGAAATAATTACACTTTCCAGTAGTTTTTGTACTGGATAAAAGATTACAACAAGAATCAAAAAACACGGTAAGACGACTGACTACAACAGCATTGATAAACGACTCAAACATTGAGAATGTCTGTCTGATAGACAAGAGTAATAATAATTCCCGGGCGTGCACCCTCAACATACTTTAAACAGTCGAAGAAGGACATGTTTCTTCTGCACTGTTTTGGTGTCCGCGGCCATTAAGTAATCACAACTTAACCTCCCCTCATGTTAAAAATAAAATATTCCGATTCGAATTATTTCTGCATACATCGTGGAACAAACTATTATAACTAAGGGGTGAACGGAATACATCAGTGTAATACAGACGTTTTATTTAAACTGGTCCTCCTTTTTGTGGTTTGTTTATTAGAGACAAGCAGGGAAACAGTTTCTTACTCAGAATTGCTATAGACAAGTCGGTCTATTAATATTTCGATCGGTATAGACCGACTAGATTTTCTATAGACATTGTCTACCGGTCCACTGTTAATTTCGCACACTGCATTATGAATAGTAAAGAAAATTGAAACTTGTTGTCTATTTCTCACAAAAACATTTAAATTTTATGAAAAACTGCATTTAATTTTAAATAATTTATTGTGCTATTCTGAATACCTTAGTAAAGCTAAATCAAGCAATATAGCTAAATCAAGAGATAGTTAATGCTGCATATGTTAATAAACTGCATATTTTGATTGCCATTTAATTTTTTAGCATCAATGATTACTGTAAACCAACTTTTATTCGCGTGTGAGAAATTTTCGCGAAGTTCGCGACATCCTCTTCATCGCGAATATTTCTCGCCGCGATCCAGTCCTTAAGGTCTCTTTGTATATCAACAACAGATAAAAAGGGCTTGATCGCGAAAATTAATCGTCGCGAACTAGTTTTACCTCGGTAAATCGCAAAATAAAGTCGTCGCGAATAAAAGTTGGTTTACAGTATAGGCAGATTTGTTCAATGTATGCAGAATTTTGAATATTGTCTGCATGTAACATGTGTAAATGATGTTATTATAAATATATTTTGATTTATTTCAGGTTTTCAAATCCATTGTTAACATGTTCAGGGGTTGGATTTCTTCAGTTTCTTCCAAAATATCCAGGGCATTAGGTACATCATTTACCAATAGATCAACAGTTTTTAAAAATGTATCAATTATAAAGTTAAGTTACAGAGCAGTTCTCACCATGAGGATTTTTTTAAAACCAAAAGTACAATTTAAAAATGATACTAGTGCATAAAATAATCAAAAAATTAATTTGTTGACCAATCACTGAGATTTTATGCCTCCGATCCAAAGATTGTTTTTGTCCTGTCTGTCTTCTTTTCTGTCTGTCTGTATAGTCAACTTTAACCTAACCCATAACTATTGCACTGTCAAGGGTAAGTGTATACCACTGCAGTCTACGTCCCACTCCAGAACTGTGTTACCATCAGGGGCAAAGTGTTTCACAAACTCATTTTACTTTAATGTGTTGGTAATATTGCAGCTTCATATTTAATTTTTTTTTGATGATTAATAGGTGGTGCACTGGATGCAGAGTTGGAGAGCGAAGAAGACGTCAACACGTCGTCTGAGATAGAACACATTGAGGAGGGGGAGCTAGCAGAGCACACTACCACTGCCCCAGAGAACTTGACCCCAGAGGAGGGGGGTGACAAGGTCACTGGGGATGTGTTCCCGGGGGAGGAGGGTGAGGGTCGGGCGGTCACGACAGAAGAAGCCGTGGACAGTAGAAACATACCACCTGTCGTACATAACACCTCAGGAACCTGTGTGGATATCTGTTCAGAGGAAGTAACAAGTGAGTGTACGGCCTTACTACACAGCTAGAAAGGCGCTTACACATTTTAATTAAAATAGATCTAACTGCTTTGAGTGTCACATTTGCCTGAGAATTTTTTTTAATCTGCTGTGACTACACACTGTACAAAAAAGAAAATAAATTATTTTAAATATTGGATTAAAAAAAAGATAACAAAGATCTGCTATAGTTGATTGATTGTGAATAATGAATAAATATTGCCCTGATGCTTTAATATCCAAGATTCACTAGACATTGTTGAAAGCCTTGATTTTTGCCCAGCTTAATATAGTATTGTCATTTTTAGCAGATCAGGCTGAGGATGAGGGTGCAGGCTCATTCATTGTGGTAAGGGAGGACGTGGAAGTTAAGAGACCAATGGGAATGGATAACTCGGCCTGGGAAAACATCTCAGTGGTCCAGGAATCCAGTCCTGAGAAAGTCGCTAACTCATCCGAGTCAAGTCCTGTCAGAGCGGAATCGTCTGAGTCGAGTTCTGTCAGAATAAACTCTACATCAGAGTCTAGTCCTATTAGAGTGGAATCATCCGAGTCTAGTCCTATCATAGTAGAATCATCCGAGTCAAGTCCTATAAGAATAGGGTCATCCGAGTCCAGTCCAATCATAGTTGATTCATCCGAGTCAAGTCCAGTTAAAGAAGAGAAAACTGAGTCAAGTCCAGAAAAAACTTTTGATTCGTCTGGAAGTATTGAAGTCATCCATATAGAGGACTCGAATGTGGTTTCAGAGGAAAAGAATGAACAGCCCAGACAATCCATGTCTGAGAGTATTGTGATCATTGATGAGGAGGTCAAACGTCAATCAGAGCCTCATTGTGGAAGTGACCTGGCAGTCACAGCAGCCATGATGGAGTCTGTGTGCCGAGATCTGGATGGGACCAATATAAGCAAATTAAGCAAAGCTGAAAAGACAGATAGTGGAGCCGAGGGTACAGTAGGTTCAGATGAACTGACAAGTAAACAAGGTTCAGAGGAGAATGTGATTCCAGAGGGAGTGAGGAACAGAAAGATCTCAGAGGTCCAGGAAATCAGCATGCTTCTGTCAGAGGAGGACACGTCTATCAACGTAGAGGAGCTGTCTCAGAAGTCCTCACAGAGTAAAGGGGATGATCAGGGCAGTGAAGAGAAGGAGGAAAATATCAGCAACCAACAGGACAAAGAGGGCAAAGGCGTGGAGGAGCTATCTCAGAGGTCCTCTCAGGGTAAAGGGGCTGAAAGAAAAGAGGAGCAAAATATCAGCAAGCAACAGGATGAAGAAAAGGCCTCTGAGAAGCAAGAGGAGGGGAATAAACCAGGTTAGTTGACTGTGGATGCTTATATCTAAGCTCTGTGTTAAAAAAATCTGTTTATGTTTAGAGCTATGAAAACTTATTCGAAAAAAAAATGATGAAGAAGGTTTTGTGTTAAACGTACTTCATGAAAACCTTTATATCCCCAGATCATGAGACCAAAAAGACGCAGAAAGGAGAGAAGACCAAGTCTACAGAGGTAGAACCGGAGGACTATCTGGAATTTGTTCTACAGAAGACGGCACAAGGGGAGGTAGTCCCTGCCAAACACCTCATCTATAAACTGGGCCTGCTGAATGTGGACCAGAAAATCATTGAGTCGGCCATACTAGACCAGTACAAAATCGCTGTCAAACGCAAGGTGAGCTTGTTTGTGTAGACAGAATGATAGTAAAGCTGGTCCATTGTCATTTTGTTCAGAATTTGGTTTTCAAAGGGTGAAAACTTTCAATGTTACATTCAACTACATTAATATTTATATAACATGTATAATGTGGTACCTAAACACAATTATGATAGTCTGTATCACTCAATTAAAAACATGATATACCAGCGTATTCACAAAAATTGTAATACTACTCTTTTTGCAGAGCAAAGTGATATAATTTTGTAAAATATGATGTAAAAGAATTTTTTTAAGATGCATAATTGAATTGTCTATCAGCAAAAACTGATTAATTTGCCCTGCAAAAGAGTATTTCCACAGTTATCATGAAAAGGCTAATGCTTACAAATAGTTAAGTTATTTTGCCAATGACTGTTGACAGTAAATAAATAGTGTAAAATGCTTGGCTCTTTCAGTTTGTGGTTTGGATTGAACACTGTCGGTACCACGCTGAGCTTCTCTTCTCTCCTCCCTGGATAGCTGAGTAAGTCAACATTTGACAAGATAGGTTCCAGTGTTAATTTGAGTTTAGAGTTTATCACATAAAGGCCTAAGTTACAGCTTACTCTTTGGCTCTCCTCAGGGCCCTTCTGGATCACATGACCAACTTGTATTTACATCCCAATAAAAGTAAATGATGCCTTATTTCTTAATTGATGAGACATCTAGCATGCAGCTTTAGATGCTGGATCTGACATTATGAGGATGATTGAAGTGATATAGTTCTCAGATTCAGAAGTAAATATAAGTACTACCCAGATCATAGTTACGTAGGTGCAGAGGATGACAAATCCCATTGCCCGACGCCCGGGGCTAGTGAATTTTATCAACCACTTGCCCGCGGGCAAGTGACTTATCAAAAATAGAATTTATTTGTAGGCCATAAAGTTAAAGCTGGGCATCGGGGCTTGCTCAGCATTTGTCTTCCTCTTTGAAATATCTATAAATATAGAATTAGTTTATGGTAGGGCAAGCAAAAATTCAGGTAGGGCAAGTCAATTATGACCATGTACTTGCCCTTGGACTAGTGCCTTAAAAATCTATTTGTCAGCCCCTGCTAGGTGTTACTTCTAAGCTTGCACACTACCTTCTAAGGCTTTGCCTTACAGAGTTTCATCATATCAGCTTAGTAATCAGTGATTATGTTGAAGACATCATGAGAATAGCTTTTGTGTTCTCAGGCATCATTACAATATATAAATACGGATATTGCGAATTCATGGATATAGCGAAGTCATCTTGAATCCCCAGCTTTATAAATTTAATAAATTTCTTACATTGTTATAACGATGATAACAAATAACGGATATAGCAAAGTATTTCATAGGTCCCAGTGACTTCATTATAACCGAGTTTTGCTGTAGCATAAAAAAAAATTCTTAAAGATTATTTACAATAATTTCCTTTTTTAAATAGTTTTTTTTTTTTTTAGTAAAAAATTGCTTTGTTTTTCCCTTTTCAGTCACTTGCCAAAACTTGGTAGTAATAGTGCAAAGGAAAAGAAAAGATGGCAGGCTAGAAACCAAAGGTACCTGTTCTAGTAATGAAGTCCCTGTGAATATTGTTATGAGGAAATAAAAAGAAATTCTTTTAATGCAAATCTGCCCTTATAATAAGGATATAGGAAGTTTTTAAAGTTCAGGAGCTTTAAATTGTTGTTGACAACGATGAGAGGACTTAAGCCCCACCTCTTTGTCATATGAAATCTTGTTATTGGCTATTTGCAACTAGTTGACATTTGGCCAAATTTCTATCCCATGTATATTTCAACAGTAAAGGAAAGCTATGTAAATTTCAGAAGCTAATTATGTAACGTGGAGAATGCCATGCCTAAGTGCAAGTCCAAAGTTAACTGAGAATTGTACTAAGTGTAAAGAAAACCATACTACTTAAATTATTCATTATGACATGGGTTATTTCCTAGTTTGATGTGTTAGTAGAATCAGATCTCTTTGTGAGTCGGAATATTATTCTACATAGATTTACATATACTTCATAAATATATCAAATGCATCAGAGGTCTTCAATTTTTTGCAGGAGGGCCAAGAGATGGGAAAGAGAGGCCAGTGGTATGTGTCGGGACGTGAGACTAGAGAAAGACCCAAACATTGACATAGTGAGGGAGAACGCTGCAGGTGACCTGGAAAAAGTTACTGACAAATCTGGTGAAGACCATAAGACTGACATTCTGAGTGAGGCGGATATTCATGGTGAAGAGCAAAGTGAGGAAGCTAAAGCAGAAAAAGCAGTCTCAGTTGAGGATAAAATTAAAGAAAGGAGCAATGTAAGGCCAGTTGACAAATCTAGTGCTAATCAAGAAAACAAAGACAAAATTGAAGAAATGGTTCAAAATGTTATTGAGGAATCTAGTGCTAAACTTGTATGTCCTGCTAGGATTGCTGAAGATGACATACAGAAGATTGACACACCTAGTGCTGACAAATTTTTTGGAGAAAATCGTGACCAGAGAGAAGTCTGTGAAACCTCTAAAGAACTAAAACAAAATGTACTAAGTACTGAAACGCCTGTAATATCTGCAAGTCTTAACGAGGCAGGAAGTGAAACTGGGTACAAACCTGGAGCCGCTGTTAAACAAGTTGATGTGGTGCATAGGAAGAAGGTATCGCCATGTAAGAAGGGTAAATCTGTGAAAGCCAGGGATATTGACCTTTCTGCTTGTAGAAGAGAGGGCAAGGAGGCGACTGAGGAAAGAGAATCTCATTCTGGAAGAGAAAGGAGAAAATCTGACTTGTACGATAAAAGGAAGGATAGAGTAGATGATAGTGTGTCAAGGGAATCGAAGAAACCAAAGACTGAGCAGGAATCAATGGTTCTTGAATTGTCAATGAAACAGAGCAAAGGTGAAGATGAGAACAGATTAAGAACAGGCAAACATGACATTGAATCAGAAAATAAAGTAACAATTCCCAGTGATTCAGACTTGTTCAAGGAGGTGGAAGAATATGCTAATGAAATTATTCAGTCCAGTATTGATGTGTTGAGCCTTGAAGAAAACAAACCAACAGACACTAATTCAAATAATGGACAGCATCAGTCACGCTCAACTGAGAGAGTAGACGAAATGATACCAAACTTGGCAGAACTGTCGATGGAGTCTAAAAGTGCTCAGCAAGAAAACGTATTGACAGCTGATGAATCTTCTAGGCTACCAGTATTTAGTGAATTGAATGAAGCAGGAGAATCAGAAAATCAAGATTTCATATATCCTAGCATACAGCAGGTGATGTTTGAGGACAGGTCAGAGCACATGACTTCTAGTATATCCAGTTTTACAGAGACAGAAATTGACAGTAGTCCATTCCTGAGAAAGGAATCCGAACAAGAAATGCTGACAACTGCCCATAGATCACCACTCGCTGAGTTTTCAGATTCTGCAGCTAATGAGAAGGTGTTGGACGACATAGAAAAGAGCTGTGAGGAAAGCAAACCTGAGTATAGCCACCTAGAGACAGATCCAGGTACTTTATTAGTCAGCCCAGATTATGTAGTGTCACCCAAGTTTGAAGTTCCACCAAACACGCCTGCTTCTGGTAGTGCAGAAAATTCTCAGCCTGCTAAGTTGAAAAATCTCAATTTCATGCAGAACAAAGCCAAACTAGAAAAAGAAGTGGCTGATTTGTTGTCTGGATTGACATTGAAATTCAGGCATCCAGTTGGGTCAAACCTAGAAGAATTTCAACCCAATGATTCAGATACTCATACAAAGAAAGATGATGATAATTATAGTTCTTTGAAAAGTAAAAAAAACGAAGTTAGTGATGATGATAAAGATCAATCCATTCAAACTGCAGATAGTGCCATAATATCAGCCAACAGCTTTGACACATCTGTAGAGGAACTGGAGAAGATAGATATTTGTGTGAAGCATGACCTCAGTACAGCAGAGGAAGGGAGGTGCAGTCCAGAGGAGTACCTGTCTCTGTTACAACAGGTGCTCCCTAATGTAACATCCATCACCAAGCTGAAATCGGAGCAGGACCATGGTGATGTTCAGTGTAATGTTGTCTCATCTAGCAACAATGCAGAATGTGTTCAAGAGAGAGATTCTTTGTTAACTGAAGAAAGAAGTGCTAATATGTGTAAATCACCCACAGAAATTGTCAATGTTTGTGATTTGTCTGTGGCAGAGAACGTTGAAGTTCCCTGCAAGTTACCTAATGATACAGAAAAGAAAATTTCTATCGAGAAGGCTACTGAGGTGCTGGAAGAGGAACTTGATGCTGATCAAGATGTGTTTACTTCTAGGGATGATCTTGCTTTGGAAGACAGAGCCATGAATAGACCAGAGGACCCCCATAACTACTGTCTCAGTCAAAGCGATGGAGCAAGACTTTTTAAAAGTATGTACGAAGTCAAGAGACCTGAGGATTCTCTTGATGGCGTCTACCAGCCTGATGTTACAAAGAAACGCTACAATTCTGCTAAATCCTCCACCTCTAGGAGCAGTGAGAGTGAGGGACAATTTACCAAACTGAAAATGTCCAGAAAACTTTCCAAGTCGGATGAAAAATTGAAACAGACCTCAAAACCTCCCTGGAATAGTAACACTAAAGTGGATCATGGGAAGACTGGAAACATTACACCCTCAAGAATACCTAAAGCTTGTAAAACTAAATCAGGGAGTCTATCAAATACAAAGCAGATGGTGGAGAAGTCGAAATCAGTGAAGGGGAAAAGTGAAGATTTACCTTTAGAAGCAAAAGCAGAAGTTCTGAACAAACACTATGGTGGAGATGTTGGCAGCACTGATGATGCATATCAGAAAATTGACAAAGATAAGCATGGTCATGTTGCAGATGACAAGAATGCGTTTTCAAAAGACAGCCTGAAGAAACAGTCTGCAATGGAGCGGTCTGTCAGTTCAGAGAAAAGAAGGAATGCCGATCAAGCTCAGAAGGTTCTGTCTGAAATAGAGAAAGGAAGATGTGAGATGGATCAGGTGGAGAGATCCCTGGAAGCCAAAGTGGATTCCTGTTGTCAATCTGTCCAAGCAAGTGGAAATGTGGAGGAGGAAGAAAACCAGATACCTACAGCATCTGCATCCACTAAAGAGAAATCTGTACCCAAGTGGAAGAGCAAGAACTCCAAAAAGAGCAAAGGTCGACAAAAGAATCGGTGGTGAAAGTGCAAAGAATTTGTACCTGGACTTCATATTTTTTTGTTGTTGAATCAGTTCTCATTTGGTCAGTATTATTCAAACTTTGAAATCTTTTATTCATACAGAGTTTTGTAAAAGAATCTTCACGATAATAAATATATTTTGAGCTTATATTTTTTACATTTAAAACGTAATAAAGCAAATCCAACAGTTACATGAATCCAAGGAATTCATGATTGTGAAAAAGTATTTTTACTAAGTCATAATTATGCGTATTTATGAAGGATATGGACTAACGAACCGCATTCAATATCAAAGTCTTTAAAACTATATGAAATAGCAGAGCAAACATGGACCTCAAAACATCAGAGGTGGGATCAGGTACCATGGAGGAGTGAGCATTCCCTGTCGACTGGTCACACCCGCTGTGTGCTCCTTGTCCTTATCGCGGGAAACGGGAAAATCCATCGTCAATTCAGTGTATAAATAATTGTTTAACCTATGAAACCGTCAGTCAGCGTTTGGCTCAATGATAAATTGTATTTGCTGACAAGATCATTGTATCAGCCATAGAACTTATGAAATGATAACTTTAAACAAGACTGATGATATTTTTGTTTCAGGAACTTGTTTGTCAATAATTCACCTTGTTTTAGAAATCGCTCGTACGTTAAGAATGTTCTTGCGTTTCGAATCAATAATGAGAGATGTAAATTCAGTATGCAGCCAGGTATAAATGAAGGTATATTGCTGCATCCTAGGAAGCAACTGAGGATAGAACAGTTCGACGATAGAAAAGTTAAAGTCATTACGTTTATCATAGAGTTTAGTTGTTAGATTATATATATATCACGTACAGTATGACATATACTGTATTTCATGATTAGCGTACATACCATAAGCCTTCCTTTGGTTAGTCCGAAATATTTTGCGTTTTCCAGGCTTTTTTACGATTTTGATATTTTACGTGACAGGAAAACGGCAGAACCGGCGCCTTTACGAAAACTGGGAATTTGCCGCCTCCAATTGGAGGTGGCATTCTCGAGTTGAGGACAGACGAGACTTTCCTTAATAATCAATAAAAATTTACCAAGATTTTGTCATTGAAATATTGCTACTTTAATATGTTTACTCACGAAAAATTGAGGTACCTTACCAGGCATTTCTGCAAGATAACAGGGGTAGTTTTTCTTTTATAATCCTCTGGGAAGAAAAATAATTTTCCAATTGGATATTTTAAAGATGTTTAGAAACTGGTTTAGAAATCGGAATATAATTTAACTTTTGAATATTTTTCATGAATTACGAAGATATGCAAAACAGATCTTGAGAAATGTCTCATCTGACCTTAATTTTAGATACCCGGTACTTGCGAACTGAATTAAATTTCAAAGGCACATGCTATAGTACAATACTTACTTACCAGTATAGTTTTTATTGTTCATTTATAAAATATTTTATCCGTTGAATAGATTTTATCACACTGTCGAGATTTGTCATAATTTCGTGCATTTTAAGGTCAGAGGAAACGTTTCTCAATATCTTCGTAATGTATGAAAAATATTTAAAATTTAATAACATTCTGATTTCTAAACCAGTTTCTACACGTTTTTAAAAAATCCAGACACTTAAACATTTGAAACTGGAAAATTATTTTTCTTCCTCAAAGGATTATATAAGAAAATCTAACCCTGGTATCTTGCAGAATACCTCAATTTTTTGTGAGTAAACATGTTTAGGTATCAACACTTCAATGACAAAATCTTAGAAAAATGTTTCTATTATTAAGGAACGTCTCGTCTGTCCTTAAAATCTTGGAAGTACTGTAACGAAATTTGGAGAGAAATTTTGTGGTTATCGATATTGGCGAGTACTAAAAGCATTGTTCTTCTGATAAATTCTGATTTCGGCATTTAGTTCGGTTCGCAAGTATAAAAAAAAAATAATAATAAACTTCGGTTGGGGATGACAGTTTTCGTAATGGCGCCGGTTCTGACGTTTTCCTGGCATGTCAAATATCAAAATCGTAAAAAAAAAAAAAAAGCCAGGGAAGCGTCAGATTTTTCGGACTAGCCTTTAGATTTCTTAAATCCGATTTTTAAAAAAAAACCTGGTGTATACAAAAGAATTTTTAACACCTCAGTTTAATAATCAAAATTCTAAATCCCAGTCATATGAACATATACATACCAGAGTAGTAATCTAAAGAACTGATGTTGAATTTTCAACCTTTAATGACGATTTCTTTCATGATTAACATGAAGTTGATATTGGTAGAAAAACTAATGAAATTTATGGAACAACCTTATGCAACTTGTAGCAAAAAAGTATTTGAGTAAGAAGCATGGATTAACCACCCTTTGTCAGTTAAATTGATACATCTTAAGTAATTGAACCTAAAATAAGGTCATTATGAGCCACATTTAGATTTTCAGATGTTTGTCTTAATTATAATATTCACGTTCCTGAAAGGTTGAAAATTTTCAAATTTTGACAATTGATGTAAGCTTGACAAACTTTTTTTCAGTTGACTCACTACGATCCTTGATGGTTCAAATCATTACTGAGAGACCATTAGTGAGGATGGATCCACAGTGGACAAAGTTTTTACATTTTTTAGTAATTATGATCCGCGGCGGCAACGACAGGGGATGAAAATTATTTATGGTATATTAGTATTCAGTTCTGAAATTAAAGTGTCCATGGTATATCAAATGTCTTGGACATAAGATTGAAGCAGTCTTTAAAATGTCATTTAGTGAACATTAAATTTGGAGAAAAAAATGCACCTGCTCTTGGCACTCTTTTCGCTGGACTTATGGTGCTGCATGACACATAATAATGTATATTTACAGATTTTTTGTGTGTTTTTATTATCATTTTCAAAATGTGTTTTGAAAGAAAATCTATATCTATTTCCACCTACATATGTATTTGGTTAATTTAAAATTGCCGGAGAGGTGCCTCATAAGATAAAACTCGGAAATGAAAGGATAATTTATATTGTCGGAAATAGAATAAAAATATGTCAGAAATGCTATGCAGATTCTGTGAAATAAAATGCAGCGATAAAGATAGAGATAATTCTTACAAATATTCTTCTAAAAAACAAAGTCTTAATTTGGAGGAGGGCATGGCCACACTAAGAAAATATCAAAACGCATATGAAAATATCTTGAATCTTAAATCATGATTAGTCAAATATGATAGCATATATATTCAGCGTAGATTCAAACTCTCAATCACGCACCCCCTTCCATCCACAGGGGGGAATAAATAATTGAATTTTTAAATATTGGTTAGATTTGTGCCTTTTCTTAGCCAATGTGCACAGGTGAGCGACCTCGTCCATGTCTTTTTTAAATGGTGAGATATCTGAATTAAGACGTACATAAATATTAAATACCCTGCTTAAATGGTACTCGTTTTATTTTCAACTTTTTAAGTCACTTGCACGGAAACTGGGAAAGTCATTCTGAGTCTGACCCAGAAATCAAGCATTATTTCGGTCAATATTTCTAAGTTATTTGCAGGAATTGAGAGGGAGGCGGTATATCAAACATGATGAATAGGGGGGGGGGATGTTGACTCAAAATCCAAGAAATGTGAGGTCGACACAGGGTTCAAATTACAGATCAATGTATACAAATAACTTTGACCAGCAAGAATTTGCCCTTAAAAATTTTTTTTTGCTAAATTTAATGCTCAAATCTACCCCTGACTGAAACATGTGAAAGAACGAGGGCGCTTTTGATTGGCATTCGGCAGGAACCTGGGCGTAATTGAAAAGTGAAAATTTTATTGACATGTCACATGAAATTTTAACATTTTTTTAATTTATCGGGTTCCTGTGCAACAGGAACGGAAACTATTTTCCCGAAATTGAGCTTTGGTTTGCTAAAAAATAACTTGAAAATTGGCCATATCAGACATTTTGTACAAAATTGTACATTTTGAAACACATTTTTATAAAAATTTTCTATGACTGGGTCTTCTCTCCATGATTTTGAAACGTTATTTGTGTGTATTTTAATTCAAAGAAACGATTACACTTTTTTAAAAAATGGAGAGAAGACCCAGAGACCACGAAAAATGAATTTTTCCCCAAAAATTCCAAATGTGTCAATGTGGTGCGTCTTTGTCCTTTTAAAGACCTTGGTACATGTGTAGCGGTGATAGCTCAGAAAGTTAGGCTACCTGTTCAGTGCACTCGAAGCGAAAAGTTTTTGGTTCGAGCCTGGCATGGGACGTTACTGTAATTTTTTTTCATTCAGGCAAGCAACCGTTTATTTCGTCAGTTTCGTTTTATGTACTGATGTATTAAAATTTTGAATTAGATAAATTTTGGTTCAGTTTGGTTCTCAAGCGAAATCAATTCTAATCTTCTATTTTATAATGTACATGTACACGTATCATGCATCTATGCATTAAATATTTTAGGTTTTATTTTTTGTGAAAAATTACTATGTTATAGTACCCCCTAGAAAAAAATGGACATAAATGTTACAATTTCACAATGTCTTTCAAACTAAACTAGATGCTGTCATGAGACAGTAATACCCGCACTATGGTGTTTGCCTCTAAATACACACTCCTTCATATTGGACTTTCCAAGGAAGAAGTCAAAATAATTCTATAATTATCACCGTACATGTATTCGTCAAATTGAACATAAAATTTTAAGGTGACCATATGATCTATGAGCCTCAGTCATATATATATTTTGAATACTTAATTCATTACCAGTCTGAAATAACAGAATTAAATTAATGATTGAAGTAAATTACTTAATTAGATTCAGATAAATATTTTGCCCATAATTTGGAACTTTTAAATTTACTTTCTCAACGACATAAAATATTATTTTAGTACAAAGCGTTTTTGATGAATTTATAAAATGTGCAAACTGATTTTAGTACTTGGTCAGGAAAAAAACCCATTGAAAATACAACCCGATTAATTTGTCAATGCCTCTCTCTCTCTCTCTCTCTCTTTCTCTCTCTCTCTCTTCCCACCCACCCACACACACACTCTCACTCTCACATTTTTTAAAAATAGACCTAGATGGCAAATTTAAGTATATATGTTAAAACATAGTTTATTATGATAGTTTGAAATTTGTTCTTGTACTAAACAGTTTTACGTGCGAACATCTTATTTTCTACATTCACATTGGGTTTGCGTCACCCATTATCATATTTATAGATATCTACTCTCGGC